ACAATACAAATGTTGGTAAAGGAAATTCCAGGAACATGCCAGAATGTTCCAAACGTAATGACATATATTTTGCATTGGCAAATTGTAGATATGATTTGAAAACAGGATATGGAATTTGGTGTAAGTGGAAGATTTTGATGATATACATATGGTAAGTATGAAACTTCATTACCGTTCTACTTAGATACGCTTTTGTTGAGACACACAACTTTCCACGGCCATCAAAACTAAACAGCCATCTTTAGGCACCCGCTGCAGCTGGCCCGATCATCATAGATAATCAATTTAATAAATAAGTACTTGGTACGCACTTGAATACGTAATAAATCCACTTGACTGAAGCTCTTTAACACAATTTTCCAAAGCCTATACTGAAACTCCCAACTGTTAAATGCCGTTTATTCAAAGTTGTATTCCTTTTTATTTGGCGTTGCTTAACCGCCGCCGTCAAAGGATCCTTCAAACTTTTTTTATTTGCTTCCCTCAATGTACGGTTCGGGTGTATAATTTCACTAAGTTTAACCTTCAGTTTATTTTCATGATTTAGTAAAACTTTCTCTATATGGTGGATAACGGTTGAAGTAATTTGTAATGAAAGCAGTTATTAAATCTAACTTTTGGCTCCACTCACAGTGTTAGATTTCGGACTAATGCCATTTACCAACACTTTCTTTTGCTCAGTCCGAATCTCGCGAGTTTATGTCCACTACTCTGGTCTAAAACGAGAATTTTGCATATCTTCGAAGTGAAATCTTCCGAATCAGCTAACGATTGCATTTAGCATACTTCTAATGAATCGAAAATGTTAAAGTTATTTACGACAAATTTTCGAATTTGGAGGATGATTCTATTATCATTACAATAAATGTTCGTGAGTCAGTCGCTCAGTTGTACTGTAATAAAGGCAACCAACGCGCAGATATCGAAATCGGCATAAAGTAGCAAAAAGAGTAATATCCGACAGCCGCGCTGCGGGCTCGGCCGAAGCGGCGATCAATAGCATCTCACAAATTAAACAACATTCCCACGATATTGAAGCCTCCGTAATTTTTCTCAATATTAACAGAATTTGTTATCATTTGAAGCCTCACCTATTTATACTGTAATATTATTATTATTATTTTCAATAATGCATTGCTAAACCTGAATAGGATTGATGTCATTTGGCCTATAGCTCTGGAAAATGTTCTAGAACACATGTTGTTTTCGACTGTATTCGTTATCGCATGACATCACTGGTGATGATGGATGTCTTCTGAACATTGGGTTTCTCATAGCACCTTTTTTGAGATATGTGTTTAAACTTTTTTTTATGCTAAATAATATAAAGTAAATTTAATAATTATCTCGTTTTTACAACAAAAACCTTGCCACCAGTGTTTTATTTAGCATAAACCCTTGCCTTTAATCAAACGCATTTGATTTGTCGCCCTTATAGCGGACAGGGTAATAATTAGCGAATGGCGAGCCCTTTTAACTAGTCTCTAATCCGACGTTTATTGTCGAGTTGTTAATTTACCGCCTCCTAATCTCCTTTTAATTAAGGAAGGCGCAAAATTTCCGTCAAATTCACGAATGCTTCGAAATTTTAACACAGTCATTTAGAAGTCCCTTCCGGTTTTTTTTTTGCATTTTGGATATCTGTAAGTCCTGCTGATTTCCTTAGGATTAATTTTTGTTACATTACTATAAGGTATTTATTGTTTTTCTCGTTTCTTATACTTCGTATTCAAGGGGGTATCCCCTTATTGTTCATAATTTATCACGCAACCCAACACCAAAACAAATTATAATCTCACTTTCGCGATAACAAATTATTCTCGTGACGGGAATAAAAAGGATATGATAATTTGTGCGGTAATTTGTGTCGTTCGGGCATAATGAGCTCAATTACGCGGTTCTGCGTCGTGATGGCATTGCTAAGCATAATATAGGACTTCGACGTGACACATTTACACCATCCCACAACATTTCGAGGCACAATGTCACTACTGCTTTAATTTGTACTTAACGCACATATTCGCAGCTTAGTTCCGAAGTTCGAACTTCTTTATGTAACTCTTGTGTACCGCGTTAGAGACGTACTTGAGAAATAGTTCCATTTGATGTGTTGATAAGGTATGTTTGTATCTTTCCTAACCATATATTTATCCTATACAGCTATAATGGCGGTGCTCGAATTGATTTTCATAGCACTTACCAGTGGCATTGTCGTTTCAATGATTAATGGTTTTGCGCCGCGGTTTACGATTCGTATTCCGCTAAACTTCCTTTTGCTTTACTTTTGCTACAATTCTGTGATATGCTATGACGTGTAATGTCGTGACTTTAAGATTAGTAATCGTGTTGGTGGAATAAATAAATAGAGTAAATGGTGAATCGATAACCTGGTGTAGGTTGTAGGAGTCCGCTTCATGCGCGCAAAGCAAGGCCGATCGTTGTGGCGATCTTTGGGGGTGACGTGTATTCAAATGATAATGGCAATGATGATCGAGTCGGGAGAACGCTTTCCTCCAGAAATTCCTTGGTACCTATTTTTAGTTAATCCTTAGTTCTGGACCACCAAGTCTCGATTCATGTCTAACGTATCTGGCTCATTATAACTTGCTTTTACAATAAAGCACGACGTCGTCAAATTGAAAAAAGTCCAAACTCTTCGAAAAGCTGGGGAGCTTGGATGGGGATCCCGCATTGGACTAGAACTATAACCAAAGCATTTTCTAAAATATCATCGAAAACGTCATCGAATACACAATTAAAAATACCGTTAAATAAATTATGACTCCCGGTCTGCCTGTGCAAAGGTCTTTGTAATTCGCACAATAACAACATTTCCTATACTGCCAGTGACATTAACGTTTCTTGTTTGCGTTGAGCGACCATTATCGCGTAAGGTTATTTTGAGACACGTTTGCTTTCATGCAAATGTCTTATAATAACGTTACCTAATTACCTTTGATGTGTTGTGATCGTGAACAATTTTCATTTGAAATTGACATCCAAGTTTTATTATACGCATATTCGAAAAAGGTTTTTTATTATATTTATAGTGGTAAACGACACGTCTACCCATAACACTAGCAGTGCCCTTAGAGCTTTAAATCGCAAAAACTTGTTGGGCACTGCCGTTACGCGCCGTCATTCTGAGACAAAATTGATAAGACTAACGTGTGTGTATTATCATCAGCACCCTTGCCCTTCCAAACCGGAACGCAGTAATTCTCACATTACTGCTTGGCGGCACCAATAAGCTCTACTGCTAATAAAATAATAATAAAGGTTCCAACTAATGATAGCATTTCAAATTCTATTTACAATGAGGTTGTACGTTGCAAATGACAGCTAAATTTTGCAAGTTTTAACTTTGTTTGTTTAATAATTAAGAGAAAGCCTCTTTATGTATTTACATTTGTTAACGATGTTATATTATCGATTATGTTTCAATTGATCGTCACGTTTGTTACCAATAGTTTCATTGGAAACTGTGACCTTAATTTATTTTATATCACCAGTGATAAACGACCAATTGTATCTTAGATGATTGTGACAATTTAAGAACAATTGCAGCATAAACAAATCAGGCTTGTCTGTTATTATACAAAAACTGTCATTTACTTTGATGTCATGCAAAACTTTTCATCGTAGTAGCTCGAAATTCCATACCGTTCCATTACAACAAAATCATTTTCCAATCTCGTAATACTGTTTAAACCTAACAAGGTTTTATGTGTAAGTGTCTCTCACGCTTGAATGAACTAGGTAGTGCTAAATAATGCTATAGGCAGAGGAAATTAACAACGGGTGGGGAGCGTTATTGCCGCATATCTCAGTTTTAAGGCGATGTAAAGTGCGCCTTACCGCCGATTTAATGTTACTACACATGTTGGATTCAGTCGATGTATGAACTATGCTTTTCATTTTTGCAAGGATCCATACTATCTAGACCTTTTCATGTACAGCTGTCGGAATTTTTTATTACGAGTCACTGTGACGTCATTGTCATTTAGAAATCAATATCTTGCTAGCCAATGCCATCCTAGAAAATCAACATTATTTCGAGAGTGATTTACTGTATGGAAAGGGCCTTGCTTTTAATTGCCCTTCAGTCTAAAAGTTGATGGCCGTCATTCAGTTGCTTTGAAAGTAATTTTTATTTGAAATTTCTTCAAATTTTTGCGTAACCGCCGCCAAAAATGATGACCATTGCTGCTTTCATCTTATTTAGCGTGTGCAGCAAAGTCGTATTTTTAATTATCCTACATTTTTGATAATAGTCTAGAACTCATCAAAGCAGCAACTTCATTTTGAATGATTCGTTTTCGGTTCAGTATTAATGGCGACGAACCGTGAGGAGTGGAGAAGGCTGCACCGACATGAGTCTAGCTGTTAAATAAGATGATGATTAATGGCGACGATAGGTGACAGATTGCATTTCAAATTATATTTAATGTACTCTGTGTTCCCAGATGTGGCACTTGTCGTATAGGTACCTTAAATTTAAGAAAACAATTTCGGAGAGATCACAACTAGGCGGAAGAGCTTAGGGAAGAAAAAGTAGGGACTGAAGCGCAGCTAAGTACTGGAGGGCAACTTTTTTCCTAATATACTTATATATGGAATGTATATAATTATATACGGGTAATTATTAATTATTATACAACTTATAGAATTCTATAAGTTTGTTCAATTATTAGACAGTTATAGGTTAGGTTTTATGTACTGTAAAATGCGCCAGGTGTAGCTTATGGACTAGCCGGTTTAAGGTTATGCCTTCATATTGCATCGGTCATCGTCCTATTGCCAAAAATGTGTCGATAAATTGTAATTGACATTAAAAATCTTTTGTTCATTTCAAACTCTATTATATTCTCATCGGTAAGCTAAAATTAAATTAACCAGATTGAGGTCTTCAACATATTACGCATTGACGAAACGTATCAGATGTCTAGTGTCAATGAAAATTTTTAACTCAAACTAAAATAAACTACTCATTGTTACAGGTACAACAGAACGAGCATGCCTGATAACAGGCTCTGTGGAGGGCATCATGGTTGTGCTGGACTTCATCATGGACAAGATCAAGGAGAAGCCCGAGCTTGTCAAACCCTTCCCGGAAGGTGTCGATACCAAGATGCCTCAGGATCGGGATAAGCAGGCGAGTCTGAAGTCATTTTTTTCTAGAGGTTATGATTAATTAGCTGTGATTGATGCAAGAAATCGTTATGGTTCCCTAAAGATAACCCTCTTTTGCCTGACGGGAATTGATGGTACGACTACAGAATGTAACGAGTCATCGTATATTGCGACGACAATTTTTCAACGCCAACACACCTTCCCCAACATTTTGGCGCTATACATTAAATTTATTAGATTTTTTTCTGACGTTCGCCATAGATTAGGACGCAACGGTCTCTACGTCGTCGTTAGGCTATCGGGACAGTGGCAGATTGATTAAACTGGCATAGAAATTTGAATATGTCAAATGATTTCATACTTATACGAAATGTTTGAAATATCTGAAATTACAAGGAAAACATCACTCAACGTAATCCTAAATAAAATCTAACGTACTTTTTTTCCCTCTTCTACGGCAAAACCAACTATTTGTCACCTAAATCCCTCTCGTGGTACACTTTTATATCCATTTGTTGTCCTATCAACGCCGACGCATCTTTCAGAGGTGCGCAGGATGCCCTCAAAACGCTAAATGACTATACGGAACTCATTTTAAAGCTTTTACACAACCATTATGCCCTTTTTACTGTTACGCCTTTTTAAACTTTCTAAATCACAAAGTGTTGTGTTCAGTTGTACACTCCACAGACATTTTGGAACCTTGTGTTTTGTTGGGTCGATTCGCCAGTTAAATATAATCGTAAACTCTGTGTACTTGGCTCCATATCGCCGCGAACAGCGTGCCAATTAATTGTACCTCTAACTGAAGATACTCCTCGTACAGCTTTTGCATATCTCCCAAGCTGTAAAGTATAAGTCATATAAAGGCTGTATAAGCGTCTAAAAGCCGCCTAAAACTCCTCTATAATGCCGGTAGGGTAGGAATATCTGCATCTCCAGCTGTCATTACCTACAAATTCACAATTAATTCGTTCATTTATTTAATTTCTGGTGACAAAAGTAGACTTTCTTGGAATTCCCGAGTGGCGTTTAAACGTTGTGACAAATTCAGGGTAATTAACAATTACGCATAAAAACATTTGCTTTTCTTTCAGAGTGTTTAAATTTCTTTTGTTCTTGATTTGGTTTATAATATAAGTACAGTAGGCAGATGACTTTAGCCATCAAAATGTCGACCTAACGATCATTGTGTAATATATTTACATTCCCGAAGCCCACTACTGAACTTGAGGTCTTGTAGTCAAAAGAAAAAGCTGACCGGCTATCAAGTTGGAAAAATAATTGAAATACAATTTGAAAAATAATCCTTTCAGAATGGAAATCGCATGGATACTAAACTACAATACCAAACACTAAGTCTAAGTACAGTTTTATCGCAATTAAAATGTACACCGATCCATCGACTCAGTATTAGCCCGCCGCACAGTACCTAAGCCCAAACTGATAACTCGTAATGATAGGAAAAAATTGTGGGTCACAGAGCTAGTTTTTTGATCCCCGACGTTTTCTTACGACTTCGTATAAATTAACAGCGCGGATTGTATGTGTAAGTAATCACACATTCGCACAATAATGAAAGGCGCTTTGAGACGATCAGTGTTATGCAACGCTAGAGCATCCTTAGATTATGCAAACGTGTGCGTCCGTACACAGCGCGCAGTTGGCGCGCACACATACAAGCCGCGCTGCAACATTTGTACGAAGTTACCTTACTTGTTCTTATTGTACTACGCAAAAAGGGTGGGGGTTTATAAGTTTGAAACCTTTGTGTATCTATGTTTTTGGGGTATCGCAGCTTCCAAAGGAATACATAGATTTCAAAGTTAAATCGGGATTGTTCTTAGGCATGTTTGATGAACTCCTGTTTAAAGACCATCAGCTCTTTTCCCTGTTAGTTTATAGATCTCAGTCATAAAATGAATATTTTGGTTTCCATTGGTCCGATCGACTTGAAATTTGTTATACTATGGAAATAGTATCTTCACATGTTAACCTTGATGTGATACTGTAATAGTCTGCAAACTACTCAACTCCTCGAGTACTTAGGTACAGTAGAACTATCGTGTTTAGTTTACAGATGGTGACTTTTATTGACTTCGTGGAATAGTGGAGCGTAGCTTTGTGGTTTTTTTTTTTTTAATTTAAGTTGTTTTTCTACGATGAAAAATGACATTTCTAGCAACTTTAATTCATTCATAATTTTTTGAAAAGTTGTCTGTTACAGACAAGGAAAATGGCTCAGTTTTTCTTTTTTCATGGAGAAAAGTACAATTAATTTTTTATCTCGAAATGTGAGACATGTTATGTGTGAAGCTTTGTTACGATATAGTTCCTATCATTCTGTACCATGTAATTAGCAATGCGTCTGCCGCTATAAAGTCAAGTCAAAATCCTTGTTTTTTTTCTACTTGGCGCTGCCAGAACCCTTGCGCGTCAAGTCTATGCGCTTCTGCACTATGGCCTTAAAGCCGCCCTAATGTGAACTCACAGACATATATCTAGATAGCAAGTACATCAATTTGTATGAAAACCAAGCGTGCCACACATTTTTACGCGTAAACACGCGTATTCCATTCAATTAATCGATTCTAAATAGAATAATTTTTGTTCAAGTATTTGTTGATTACAAGTAGTCGTAATATTAATAGAGTAGAAAAATACTAGAATAAGATAGTTATTTTACTTATTGAAAAAAAATGTTGATTACTTAAAAAACTTTTACTTTTAATCGACTTCAAATATATATAATAAAATTTGCTTATTATATAACATCTTTTTGTAATAGAAAATCTCACCGATTAGCTTAAATAATGAAAACGCACGTCAATATATGAACTTGCTACTTGCCGTAATTAATTTTACTAGATTATTTTTTGGATTTCTAACTTCGCACTGTTAATTCTTTGCATTATATATTTTTTTTATTACTCGTACTACATATCTGGCGATGTATGTAATTATTTGCTCACTATATTCGAACATTCGAGGCGACGTGCTGCAAAAATTATCGAAATTACAGATACTACTGATAATAGTTAACTGGCATACAAAACTGGCAACAAAAACGAAACGTTATAACAAAAGAGTCATAGAATATTTTTATAACATTGCTAAGGTCATAATAATTTTCGTCCCTTAGTTTTCAAAATCGATCAGAATCGAGAACAATGTTTGTTTGTTTGTTGCCTAATGTATATATCACTAAATGTTAAATTTGACCAAAGAAATGTACAGGCGCCCGTACCACGAAACTGAATGCATTATACATAATCTCAGTACAGAGTACTAAAAAAACCGACCTCAAAAGTGCGGGGAATTACATATAATTAGCAAGTTTTATTGAAATCGGTTACCGGAAAGTGCGCAAACCCGGATTCATCCCCTAGTTCGCAACTATACGGGACTTGACACAGGAGATAATAAAAATCGGTTCTCACTACTCAAAGTATATTGAGAGAGAAAAACGCCTAGAATTGGAGAATAGCAGAATCCACCATTAAAATAATTGCTCCTCATACTAAAACTTAGGCGCTATTTATAAAAACGAATCTTCATGCGTGAACAGCCACCCTTATAGGTGGATGATTTTCTTCAAAATTAAATGGGACCACTATGGAGGTACCCTCGTTCCAACAATAAAGAATCATGAAAATCGGCTCACAAAAAGTCGGTTAAAAAGTGCTTTCGTTCGATATTCACGGCGTATTAACAAAGGATCACAAATATATCACACCAAGTAAAAGCCGCAATGTATTACAAATCATGAAGCATACACTCGGTTGCATATTTGTTTTCTCGAAATTCATGCAAAACCAAAATAATTGTTTATAAAATAAATTATGCATCTTCTGATTACATAACCACTTGCCCGTGGAAGGAAACTTCCCGGTTTACCCGTTTACCTACAGGGATGGTGCTTTTGCAAACTATAATGGCACAATTATGCATTTTTCGCATTTTCGACTGGTAACGATAACGGTCGAGCGCGTTCTGAAGTGTAGCAGCGGCAACTAAGTAAATCGAAGTACGTACACTTGCGGCGTCTATTTAGATATATGTCTGTATGTGAACTATTATGCCGTTTTTATTTAACAAATTCACATTAAATTTAATATGGTTTTTAAATGGTTTAAATATTTAATTATCACATGTAAAATGTTTCTGTGAATACCGTGTAATTCCAACATTTATACCAAGAAAAGCTGTACGCGGTGGCTACGTTTAAAGTAAAAATAAAACCTACGAATATCAAGCAAATAACTCTGCTGTTGGTATGTTGGGGAAAATCGTAAAAGCATATTTTAACTGCGATAACAACAACAACGCACCTTTCACTGTCTTCGCGAGGCGTTCTCTTTTTTTTGTGATACTAAGTGACGGAACGAACCAATCGTGCGCCTGGTTATAAGCGACACGCCTGTCCATAGCAGTTGCACTGCCTTTCAGAGCTTTAAATCGTAAAGATCTGAGGGGCAGTGCCACAGCGCCAGTCATCACCTTGAGACAGAAATTGACAAGTCCCATGTACTTAACAATTATAGCGATAAAAACGGTAAATGTATTATGTGGTGGAAATTTTGTCTAATAGCACGGTGAATTATAATTGAACACTGCATGCAAAAACAACGTGACTTAAAAATTTTATTAAATCTAAAAAAAGGGATACAAATTAATGTGAACAAAAAACTTTTATTCAAAAAACTAGGACCAAGAAAGCAAGAAAAAGAAAGAAATTCAACTAGGAATTCTTCACCACACTACGATTCTTTGTCATTTGAAACGTAGTTACAATTTAATGTTGTGGATACCAAAATTGCTTTAGCTTGGTGACAATCTTTCCAGCCATTTTTCTGTAAAACGGAATAAATCCAATATCGCGGTAGGTGCGAACTGCCGACGACGCCGCAGCCATTGAATCTAATCCGTCAAGGAAATTGTTTCACTGTCCTAGTCAATTTGCCGCGAACAATGAATAGACGCGGTGGAAATTGGCGAATATTTTGGTGTGAGGTTTTATGT